CTTTAGTTTATTAATGAGTTAATACCTTCCTCATCTACATGTAGTGAATGCAGCTAAATGGCACTTTCAATGTGAAATACCTGGGAAGGTTTCAGTCACCGATGCCTGTGGACCCAGTATCCTTATGGAACACACTGGTTATCCCTATCTCGGTCCCTACCCCCTGCAGTCCCACAGTACTCTCTGCTGCAGACGGACAACTCCCCCACTCACATGCACTCCTCGTCATTTCCATCCATGTTAGCGCTATTCTCCTGTTGCTAGACTTCAACAGCGCTACTCCAACGCTGCTCCTAGCACTGCTTGGCTTCTAACTTCACCAAGCAACTCTTCCTAGACCATTCCCCAGACCTGGTACCTCTACGAATACCCGCCTTATTAAACTCACTTCCGTTCTATTCTGTGTACCATTTGTTTCTTACCAGGGCACTAATCTGGCACATCTTACCAGAACACAAATAAAATGGAAGGGTGTGAACTATCTCATACTTACAGCCCCCTGACTGGCTTCCTGTGCCTCTAATGCCATAAGAGCCACATGTAGAGTTGGCACTTAAAAGATTCTGAGAAATTATGCTTTTCCTTTCAATCAAGATTCTGTCTCACTTCAGCAAGGGAACAAAACAACAACCAGACCTCTCTTTATAATTTTGTTTTCCTAGAAAATATAAATATGGTCAGGACAACTTAGACTATTAAACAGAGTTGGGGCACACATGTTGTTCCCTCTGTGCTAAAAGCACTAGACTTAGATAAAAATATATACATCTGCTATTTTTTAATTTGGGAAATAAAGACAACCAAGTTTAATTCTAAAAGCTCAAGTGTTTCTTTTTCTTTTATTTATTTATTTTTTTATTTATTTATTTGCTTTTCCCTTAGACATTTATATCAAGGGTCAGAGAAATACAGAAAAAAGCAAAAGCTTCATAATTGTCCCATGTAAACAGAAAAACAGTGAAGTTCTTGACTTCGGCTCCCTCTAGATGGTAGACCTCCCTCTCCGTTTCTGTATAAATTGGCAGACTTTTATAGCCAATGAACATTCCCCTGCCCCTACCTCCCACAGAACCTGCAACCCATTCCCCGTGGGTGACACGGAAACTCCTCGGGCCTTACCTTCTTGGCCTCTTGACAGCAGCTAACAAGTATGCCTGCCACTCACTTCACAAAGGATCATCCTCCTTGTCTTTGCTGTCCCTCCTCTCTGGCTTCCCTATCTCCCAGACTACTCTTCGGTCTCCTCAGCAGACAGCCACTGTGTACATGGCTCACTCACTCTTGCTCCCTAGCACAGTGTCTTAGTCCTCTCTACCTTTCTACCTACAATGCCCATCTTACCCCCTCGAGAGACTTCAAAAGTCAATAAAAGATGGACACAGTGGTCTGGCCAGTATGCCAGCCGGAGGATTGTGAGTCTGGGGACAGCCTAGGACACCCTGTCTCAAAAATTAGAGTTAGTTATATAATTGATGGTCCTTTTAAAAAAAAATGACTGCTGGAAGTATTGTTTCACAACTGAGAAGTTCTACATGCCTGGGTTCCTCATGCTCAACACTTGGCTTCACCTCAGGTCACAGTGCCATCTAGATCCCTACTCCAAGGCACCACACACAGCCAGAAACTTGAAAAAAACTTTGACTATCTGTTGCCCTCTATCCTCACACCCAGTCAATGCTCACACCTTACTGATTCTGTCCAAGATGGATCTTAAGCTGAATATCCAATTCCTTTCATTCTCACCCCTACTCCCGCACACTAAATCATCTCTTTACTGCTAATGTTGTTACTTTTAAGTTTATAATACAGCCACTGTGATCTTTCTAAGATACAGATATAATCATGTTACCCTCTTCCTAAAAGTAAACTCAGAGGTTGTTTTCCACTACTATCTAGATGAAGCTCAAATTACTCCACATCTTAGCATTTGGTCTCCAATATGATCCAGTTACTATAGGCTCCAACCACATTGAGCATCTTTTAGTTTCTCCAACTACCCAAGATTATTTTACTCCCCTTGTGTTCCTTTCATCTGCTAACATGATTATCTGATATTAGTCCCATCTTCATACTCCCTGTCTTCCTTTCTTCAAAAAAATACATAGTAATATAGGCTGGGTTTGGTGCCACATGATCTGGAGAGCACACACACACACACACACACACACACACACACACACACACACACACACAAACATCTGGAGAGCGCACACACACACACACACACATCTGGAGAGCACACACACACACACACACACACACACACACACACACACACACACACAAACATCTGGAGAACACACACACACAAACATCTGGAGAGCGCACACACACACACACACACATCTGGAGAGCACACACACACACACACACACACACACACACACACACACACACTTTAATCCCAGCATTTGGGAAGTGGAGCCAGGTGGAACTCTGTGAGTTCTAGGCCAGCCTGGTCTAGGATAGTCAGGGCTACAGAGAGACTCATCAAAAAAAAAAAAAAAAGTAGCATTTACTTCACCCATTGATCTACAGTTTGTGAAGTCCAAAATTAAAAAGCTCCATGTTGTTTCTAGGCTAACATCTTAAGCCTTTAAGTCCTCGGTGACTCACTTAGATGTGCTTTCTGAATCTAGGCTAGACTTGCCCCTCTATCACACTTCTTAACCATGTCACATTCTCTTATAGTTGCTCTTTATCTGTATCTATTAAAATCATCAGCATAGTGAACTAAGAACACATCAATTATGTCATCCATTCTACAGTAGTTCCCAGCACAAAGTTATCACTTAATAATGTTTAAATGTTGTGGTTTAGATATGAAATGCTTCCCCCCCCCAAAGATTTGTGTGTTGAAGGCTTTGGTCCCCAGCTGGTGGCTGGCACTTTAGAGAAGAGACTGGATCATGAGGGTGCTGACAAGATCAACAGACTAATGTACTAATTAGATTGATTATTTCATAGCTAAATGAGCTATTAGGAGCTGTGACTGGTAGAGGAAGTGAGTCACTGGGAGCATAAGGGTTATAGCTTATCATCAATACCTCTATCCCTCCCTCCCTCCCCCCTCCAAATTTGTCATGAACAGCTTTGCTTTATCCTGCCCTTGTGGTCCATATTCTGCAGTACACAGACCTATACAACAACGTAGCCAGCGAACTGTGAACTGAAATCACAGAAACTGAGCTAAATGACTCTTGTATCCCTTAAGCTGTCCATCTTGGGTGTTTTTTTTTTTTTTTGCAACAATCAGCAGACTAAAATAAATGATTACTAAACTAACTATATCAGATTAAAGGTTGTGCCAGAGAAGGCAGAGTTCACATATAAATTTTTATTTCTCTTCTCAAATAATACAGCAGTAAGCAAACTAACTTTCCCATAAAACAAGCCTATTTATAGTAAGGGAATTCTAAATATTTGTTTTCATCTTCATTTCTCCCTTTCCCATATATAAAATTTTTACTATAAAAATTTAAACACACTTTTCACAAACTAAAAATATGGCTAGCTTTCTCTTGATCTGCCTAATGCTAGTCTATTCTTAAACCACCTATGAATTTCAGTTTACATATATGGATTTAAAAACAGTGGTTTTCAGAAGCCAACACCCACAACTAATCACTGAACTGAACTGGAATCCAGCTGCAGAGAAGAAGGAGTGATGGGCAAAGGGGTCCAGACCAGGCTGGTGAAACCCACAGAAATAGCTGACCTGAACAACGGGGAGCTCTTGGTCCCCAGACTGATAGCTGGGATAACAGCATGGGACTGATCCAGACCCCAGGAACGTGGGTTTTGGTAAGGAGACCTCGGAAATCTACGGGACCTCCTGTAGTAGTTCAGTACATATCCCTAGCATAGGAATGGACTTTGGGAGCCCATTCCACATACAGGGATGCTCCCTGAGCCAAGACACAAGGGGGTGGGCCCTATCCCAAAGGATATGATAGACTCTGATGGAAGGCCTCACCCTCTCCTGGGGTGCAGAAAGGATATGTGATAGGGTATTAGTTGGGGGTGGGGGTTAGGGGAGGAAGGGAGGGAGTGGGACCTGGGATTGACATGTAAAACAATCTTGTATCTAATTCAAATTTAAAAAATAAAGAAAAACAAAACAAACAAACAAACAAAAACAGTGGTTCTGGACCTGTGGATTATGACCCTTTTGGGGTCACATATCAGATATCCTGCACATTCAATGTGTACATTATAATTCATAGTTGTAGCAAAATTATAGTTATGAAGTGGCAACAAAAATAATTTTATGGTTGTGGTTACCACAACATGAGGAGCTGTAGTAAAGGGCTGCAGCATTAGGAAGCTTGAGGAGCCCTGATTTACACTGATTTAAAAGAACCTGCAATAACCTTTCACTTGAAGTAGAACACCCAAGTACTTATTAAATCTTAGTACACCTGCTCTGAACTGCAAAACCAGAGAGTTCCGAAAACTTGGAAAGATGTTCTGACCTCGGATTCAAGTTTCCTTAAGGTACACTTCCTCTTTGAAGAGATATTTTTGGAATTTATTTCAGTGACTAACCTACTGATATTGGGTAACAGACATGCATTTGGTTCCTTTCTTGCCTATTCTCTATGCTTTCTGCCCACTGCCTGTCAATACTTAAGGTTTTAGATAAAGAAAAAAAATATCCAGGCCGAGCCACAAGGCCTAAAATGTCTTGCTCTGAATGTATCTTGTCAATAAGAAGACTTTCTTTAAAATGACAACCTTCTACTCAAGCTCCATATACAATCCAAGAGCAGCTCACTGCAGCCATACAGCCCCGCTGCCTGGCTGTCTGAAAACTATCAGCAACCCTACAGTGACCAACCATAGTCAGAACATGTTAAGATTACAACACTTGCCCACAGGTGCTGGCTTTTCCTTTCTGGTTAAGGCAGGTTTTCAACGTCAAGGGAGACACTCATTCTGATTTTGCAGTGCAGAGGCTGTCTTGGAGGTTTGATGAGGTTAAGGTCACAGGTACTTACCTTGGATAGACTCATTCCCAACACTGTGAGAGTCACTAGCCCAGCACAGCAGACCAGAGCACTGGAGCTGGAGAGGCCCGAACCTGGGGGGATATTTCCATCTACCAGGCAATTCATTCCAGTCAGCTTACTAAGACCAAAGTGTTCCTAAGAAAAATAGAACAACACAGCAATAGTCATTTCAGTGTTGGATTCAAGACGCAGTAGAAACTTCTTTCATTCCACAGAAGGAAGAAAGTCTACCAATAGACACCAAGCTGTTGTAGGAACTGGTATAAGTCAACACAGTGGATGCGACACATGTCATTTGACCACAGGACGAGGCAATCTAAAGATGATTTTTCATTTCATTCAACAAAAAGTTACTGATTCACTTCCTAAACTGCCTTGAATGATTTTTCTTTGAATATTAACTGATTTGAACAAGTATAGAAAAACTATCAAGCAATCAGAATTCAAGTTGCCCAGCAAGGCAAGAACTCCCCAGTCACCAGTGAGTAGGTTGAGCTTTTAGCCTGCCAATGTCTAGTATAAAGTCTAACCTAACAGCAACTGTTTCCTGGGGCTTTGGCCTCAGGAGGCCTCAGGAGGCCCTCTGAAGAAAAGGAGCTCCAACTCTATCAACTCCATTTTTATAGAGAAAAAACTAAGCACTGAGAGGTTAAAAGACCTTTCCAGAGATCACACAAAAGACTTTGGGAGACACAAGACTCTGAGACTGTCCCAAAATCACTGGGAGTGAGACCCAACACTGAGTTCCAGTTGAGGACTTCACCACTGTGGAAGCTGGGGCCAGCAGTGTCTCTACCACTAAATATCTGTCAGTTATATGAGGAAATTCAGAGTTTTTACTGTAGTTATTGATAGAATTTGGCCATCTAGTAGCTTTAAAGACAGCCAGATTAGAATTTAGGTGTAAATGATATCGAAGGCTCCCAAAGAACGCAGGGAAATTTTCTACAAATAAGAAAGCTCAACTAAACCAGACTCTGGATTAAAGACAGAAATCTCTAATGTTCTTGAACTGACGTGTAAAACCAGATTTGGGGTGATACCATATTATAATCTTTGTTTAGGATTAAAAATAAACCCAGCACTCCCTCCTCTTCAGTAAAAACATGGTCTTCTTCAGAAACTTCTCAATTAATTCAAGACCAAAGTATGAGAAACTATTACATTACCTAATTATGCATTTCATCATACATACTCATCTAGGGAGAGATTTCAATAGGCAAGTTATCCTAGCCAAAGGAATAACAAAACGCTGCAAATAAAGACTAGTTTTGTCCTTAATTTCTTTGTCCTTTTTTCTTCCTTGGCAAAAGTCATGCGCCACAAAAGACAAGAGTCAGATGTGCTTCCTGACTCCAAGTCATCCTAAGCTCTTCTTCCAGAAACACAAACAAATTATACACTGAAGACATGCTGCTGCCAACGCCCCTCCACCCAGAACATCAGGCAGCCCGCTCAAAAGCAGCAGTCCTGAGGGAACGCTATACATTCAACCATAAATGATCCAGAGTGTCTTGAATGTGACTCATACTTACAAACTTAGCATGCAATGTTTAAGTTCAAAAGTCACAGCAGACTGAAAAACACAAATGGGTTGTGCCAAATACTGTAATAGCTCTATCCCAAAAGGATAACATGTTCAATTGCACGTAAACAGATTATCCCTTGGATCTTTCTAGTATCTTAATTTGAAGGTTTCTGGACTGGCTAACATTGAAATTACTTTTCTTTCAAAAGTTCATTGTGCAAACGTGTTTTTGCACAGAAGTTGTCAAACCAAAGAGGAAGGCTTTAAGCCCTTAAAAGGATCCAAAACAATACAAGGAAACAGATAGATAGATAGATAGATAGATAGATAGATAGATAGATAGATAGATAGATAGATAACTTCACCATATGGTGCAAAAAGTGTTGTTTCAAGGAAGGTCAAATTGCAAATGCCTGACCAATGCTCCAAATACTCTGCCATCTAATTCCCACTAATGTGGATGACAATCCAGATGATTTGAAGATTTAAAACAGGCCAATAACTTTTCCCAGAAGTTATTACCATGTGTCTGGAAAAAAGACACATTCTCAAGAAATGAATGCCGTACTCCTAGGCCAGACCTCCATGACAGCAGCCCAGAACTACACATCCCAAGTTACTCTGACCAGCTCTGTAACAACATGTCACTTGGAGTCCTAAGCTTCTTGGGACAGTTTTGGATAGGGCCTCCAGGCCACTTGGATTACAAGCTCTCAAAAAAAATAAATAAATAAATATAAAATAAACAAAACAGAAAAAGCTTGTTTACTCATTTTCTTTTGATTCACAAAGAAAAAAGTCTATTTCTTAATATCCTTTATCTATGATGTTACAAGAGTCACTACAGCTGAAATAATTATTGAGTGGATGTTAATTTTAAAAATAAAGTTAAGGAGCTGGAGAGTTGACTCAGTAGTTAAGAACATTTGTTGTTCTTACAGAGGAGGACCTGGGTTCCATTCCAAGCACCACATGGTGGCTCACAACAGTCTGTAACTGCAGTCCCAGGTGAGCTGACACCCTCTTCTGGGTCCTGTGGCCACCAGGAGTGCACGTGGTACAGTGGCATACATGTAGATGAAGCACCCACACACATAAAAATAAACACATCTCTTTTTAATTATTAAAAATAAAATCAACACAAAAAGAAACAGAAGAGTGCTTCTGAAAACAGCAAGCATTGGTTTTCCGTTTGTGCTTTATACATTCTTACTCATGAGAAAAAGTGCAAATCTTCCACTGTCCTGTTCTTGCACACAATGCTGGGGTTTTTAATTGAGATTCAGTCCGTGTTTCTAAGAAACTACGCATAGCAATGCTTTCACTATATCCCTTTTAGTCTCACCTGGACAAAAAGGAACAATATAACTGTCATCCCCAAATGCCAAAGGTTTCCAGCATCTTGACATCCTTGCAACAGCTCTTCATTGAATAGCAGTGACATCATTTTACAGATAAAGCCAAGACTTAACACAAATTAACAAAGCTGCATTGAGCCCACATTCAAATCCACGGCTGCTCTAAGTCCCATTCCAGGACACTCCCATCTATCCCCAGAACACAATGTAAATACTAGGCCAATCTCTCCTCGTGGCATACTTAATGATCATAGCCAATCAAATGAAAAACTTGCCCTGGTACACACTACTCAGAAGCAATCACACCTTCCCCACCCTCAGAAACATAAGTTAGCAAAAGTACTGAAAGGAGACCAAAACCTTGACAAATCTGGAATAACATGAAAATCATCTCAATGGCTGATAGGTGTCTATTTACCTGGATTCCTTTAAATCCACATAGGAAGTAGTTGTGCCATAGAGGTTTGGTCTTGTCAATATAGATGTTATTAGCACTAGTACTGAAATCTCTGAAAAAAACAAGAGGCATTAATTTAAGTCTGTATGCCTTGAAAGACAAAAATCAATGGCTGACTGCTGCCCTCTTGTGACAAAACAATAAAACTGAGTCTCCTCTATTTACTTTCAACGTATCTCACCTCCAGTTGCTAAAGGCTGAGAGAGGATGCTATAGTAGCCTCAATGGCTAATCTACCTCTAACTGGCCCTTTCAGTTCCAAAATCAGATAGGTAACTGCGTACTTTAACGTAGTCTACATCCATTTTCTCTCTCGTGTTAGTCCTCACTAGCCAGTGTAACCCACATGAGCACTTCTTCGCCTGGGTGTGCTACTCGGCAGATGCCCCAATGAAACAGAAGTACTCAAAGCTTTCTTTACCCCACATTCTCTGATATCTATCTAATCTGACTATCTGTATGATTTAACAAAAAGAAATAACAAACACATTTATTTTAAAAGGCTATGTTCCAGTGGGGAAAAATAAGACACTGATACAAACTTACAATTAAATAAACAACTAAATGAAGAAAAGGAGAAATTGTTTTTCATAATAAAATGCCAGGCACAGTGGGATGGCTCAAGTGGGCAAAGTCACTGTCATGTAATCCAACAACTGGATCCCTAGAACCTACATAAAGACAGAATTGATTGTACAAAGTTGTCCTGACTTCCACAGATGTGCTATAGAATGCATGCCACACAAGCACAACATACACACACACACACACACACACACACACACACACACACAAACACACGATAAATAAAATACAATACCAATTAATCAATATAAAAGAAAAGTAAAAATATTAAAATACTGCATGTGAATTCCATGATAATGGCTTCATCAACGGATGTTTAGAGAGTGAGGATTTAATAAAAACAAGACAATACTGGAAGTATTATCTCCTTACCACCAGGTGCACATAGAAGACAGTAACTCTATGTTAGAAAGTTGCTGGTTCGGCACAGCAGTCAGCCTGCTTCTCTGAATTACTCAGAAAAGCCTGGCTCTCCTTTCCTCCTACGTCTATTCTCCACATGCTTTCCCCAACACTTTGGGCTTCCTTCTTCCTTCATTTTCTATTTTCTGGAGTAGTTTAAGAAGCATCCATATTGGCTTTTCTTTAAAGGTCTGGTAGAGTTCAGTAGTGAAAACGTATAGGCCTGAACCGTTTATAATATTTGTATTAATTCCTTGAAAATTTCATACAATGTATTTTGATCATATTCACCTCCCCACATATCACCATAACACCGCCCAGGTTCACCCTCCCCAATCCCAGCCAAATTTTTTTTTCCTCTGTATTTTTTCTTAACCCATCAAGTCCAGCTTGTGCTTCCCATTTATTCATTGGTGTGAGGCCAGTCATGGAGCATAGTCAACCTACCAAGGGCCACATCACTAAAGAAAATTGGCTTTCCCTCCCCCAAGAAACCATCAGCTATCCATAGCTACTCAGTTATAGGGCGGGGCTCACAATCTCCTCTCCAGTCCATGCTGACTTCACCTTAAGCAAGCAAGGTGCTATAAATGTCCCAGTTGTAACTAAGCATTCCACCAGTTATTCTCTTCACTTTGATCAGCTTTGAGTTTCTGCATTCTTACAGTCTATGTGGTTATCCCCATAACATTTATGCCACTTATTGCACCATGGGCATATCTTTCCACACCAGTAGTTCACAGGGTTCACAGCTAGGTAAGAGTCGGGATGACTACATTTTCCCTAGTAGCCTACAAAGTATCTCCTACTACTATGAAAGTTAACCAACAGGGATGATGTTACCTGGTCAGAATCAACGTTATTTCTTCAGGTCTCACGGCTAAAGTGTGTAGTGTCTTCAATGATAGACCTTACCAAAGCCTAGACTTTATAAATTGAAAATGTTTTTGTTTAGTTAAGGAAGGGGGGGTATTGTTTTGCTTTTAGTTGCTGCTTGAATCTCATTGCTTGTTTATGAATCTCTACAAGCTGTTGATTTCATATCAGTTTAATCTGGGTAGATTAGATCCATCTAAAAATTCATTTACTTCTTTTAGATTTTCCAATATTATAGGCTATAAGAAGACATCAGAAAATGGATATGTCTCCCATGCTCTTGGATAGGTAGGATCAACATAATAAAAATGGCAATCTTATCTAAAGCAATCTACAGATTCAATGAGATCCCCATCAAAATCCCAGCAAAATTCTTCACAGACCTTGAAAGAATATTACTCAACTTCATATGGAAAAAAAAAAACAGAATAGCTAAAACAATCCTGCACAATAAAGGAACTTCTGGAGGCATCATCATCCCTGACTTCAAACTGTACTGTAGAGCTATAGTAATAAAAACTGCTTGGTATTGGCATAAAAACAGACATGTGGACCAACGGAATCAAATCAAAGACCATGACATAAATCCACACACCTATGAACACCTGATTTTTGACAAAGAAGCCAGAAAGGTACAATAGAAAAGGAAAGCATCTTTAACAAATGGTACTGGCATAACTGGATGTCAACATGTAGAAGATTGCAAATAGATCCGTATCTATCGCCATGCACAAAATTCAAATCCAAGTGGATCAAGAACCTCAACATAAATCCAGTTACATTGAACATGATAGAGAAAATGGGAAGTAGCCTTGAATGTATTAGCATAGGAGACCACTTCCTAAATATAACAGCAGTTATACCACTTTGGGGCATATACTACCCAAAGGGTACTCAATCATACAACGAAGACACTTGCTCAACAATATTCATAGCAGCATTATTCATAATAGGCAGAACCTGGAAACAACCTAGATGTCCCTCAACTAAAGAATGGATCTTTAAAAATGTGGTATATTTACACAATATTTTGATTTTTGATTTGGCTTGTTCTTGTTCTTCCAAGACCCAGGGATGAATTAAGTTAATCTTTTGAGATCTGACTTTTTTCTATTTTATTTATTTAATGCCCCCCCCCCGTGTGTGTGTCCACATACCATGGCATGTGTGTGGAGTCAAAAGATAGCTAGCTAGTGGGAGTCAGTTCTCACCCTCCAATACGTGGGAGATTGACCTCAGGCTGTCAGGGTTGATAGTACTTTGTTTTTCCCATTAAGCCACCTCACTGGCCCTTCTCTGGTTTTACTATATGCACTTAGAGCTTTACACTTCCCTTGCAGGACTGCTTTCACTCCTAACCGCATTAATTAAAACCTGAGTATACTATGCTAGTTGGCATTGTATGGTAGTAGTATCAAACACCTGCGGTTGCTCTCCCAGTTAATATCCCACTCAGAAAAATACGGAGAGCTCTTGGGCTGAGGAATTATTTTCTAAACTGCACATTCTACATAAATCAAGTCCCACTTGAACATTGTAAATACTTCTACTAAAAGAATATAGCTGCAAAAAACAAAAAGAAAATCAAAATAACACCAAACACATAAATACCAATGCAGTAACATAAGAAACACACACACACACACACACACACACACACACACACACAGTAAGATAATGCCTCCAAAAGTATTAATCTTACAGTAATGGCATCTGGTGTGAGTAAGATAAGTGTTGGCAGAGTTTTGAGAAAATGAACACTTCAGTACCATTGGTAGGAATGCTATTTGGCTCAACCATTATGGAAAACAGTATGGTGTTTCTTCAAAGAATTAAAAACAGAACTAGCACATGATCCAGGAATCCTTCTGCTTGGTATATACACCCAAAGGAAATGAAATCAGTAACTCAGAGAAACATCTGCTATCCCCATGTTCACTGTCCGGTTACTCACAATAGCTAAGATATTTAGAAACAGACCATATAAAACGATAAAACTATATCTCCTGTAATTTGCAAATAAAATATACAATATAATCATGTACCATTAAACAACATTAAACAACATGGATATCGTGTAAGAAATGTATCGTTAGCCAATTTTGTCACTGAACAAACAATATAGAATATAAAGTACTTACACCGACGCAGATGTACTTACTACACACATATGTATTTGGAATATTCATCACTACAAACCTAAACAGCATACTATTATAATTGTGGTGGTTTGATGAAAACAGCCCCCAAAGTTTCATATATTTGCATGCTTAGTTCCCAGTTGAACTGTTGGGAAGGATTAGGAGGTGTGGCCTTGTTATGTCTGGGCTTGGAGAAGTGTGTCAGTAAGGACGGCTTTGAGGTTTCAAAATCCCACACTAGGTCCTCTTCCCACCCCTCTCCCTCCCTCCCCCCTCTGCCTGTTGCCTGTGGATTGGAATGTAAAACTCTTAGCTACTTCTCCAGCACCATGATTGTTTGTATGTCCTCATATTCCCTGCCATGATGATAATGAATTAACCCTCTGAAACAGTAAGCAAGCCCCCGGTTAAATGTTTTCTTTTATACAAGTTTGGCTCGGTCATAGTGTCTCTTAACAGCAACACAACAGTGACTAAGACAATACTGAACACTTAGCTGACTATAACACAGTGATAGTATTTCTGTATCTGAACCTATCCAAACAGAAAAAGTTCAATAAACATATTGTAAGTCTAAACAATTGAAACCAGCACATCAATATAGAAAACATAACAAACGGAGTAGGCAGGACAGAAAGTTGTGGTGAGTGAATGAACATGAATGCCAAGCATATAACTGCATATGACTCTAGAGTTTATAAATATACACATAAATGACATCAAATTTATCTCAAAAAGTTTTGATAACATTGCCTGACTATAACTTGTTTTATTTATAAACATCTTAATTTTTGAAACTTTTGATTCTTTTGTAGTAATTCTTTGCTTAAAATGCAAATATTCTAAGCAGCAGTAGTTTTTCAGCCTCATATATTCTCATGGGGCCATCATTCTATATGTGAGCCATCATTGACCAAAATACTGCTATGTGGCTCTGGACTGCACAAGTAAAGCTTATGCAGAAAAAGCAAAGCTGGTTCAGCACTGGAAAATCCACCAGAGTAATCCACCATATGTTTAAAGAGGACCGTCAGGACTGGACAGACATCTAATACAATTCAGTACACGTCACTGATTTCTTAACATTTTAGACCAAGGATATGTTCTAGAAACATCCATTACACATCATACTATCTTATACTGAGACTAAAGCTTTGGAGAAAACAGATAATACAACATTAAAATTGTAGAGTGCAAACCTGCTGAGAGATACAGGTAAGTAAGCAATTACTGCGGCATGGTAAGATCCTTTAATAAGAGAATTAGACAGTAACGAAGGACAGATAGCACACACCTGACTTTATTGAGACAGTTACTTCAGCAGATACTCAATACTTTCTGGACAAGAACAAATTATTTTCGTGTTGTACAGCTCAATACTTGAGACAATGCCTAGTACATGACAATTCTTCAGTAAATGCTTCCTTTTTACACTTATTTATTTAGTTACTCATTCATTCACTATGAATGTGTGAGAAAGAGTGTGGGCATGTGTGCATCATGCCACAAATGTGGAAATCAGAGAACAACCTGCAGGACTTGGTTCTTTTCTGTCATGTGGGTTTCTGGAGATCAATTTTAGGTAAAGGCACTCAATATCCCTGAGCCATCATCTTGTTTCCTAGTAAATGTTTCTTCAGTGAGTGTGCAAATGAACACAACAAATAAACATTTAGTAGTAACTTGGGATGCTGATAAATGTCAGGCAGGAAATGCAATAAAGTGTATGATTTAGCTGGAATCCAATATATTCTAGATTTTCTACATTCAGATATATTACTGCATGCTTACACACACACACAGACACACACACACACACACACACACACACACACAGACACACACACACACACACATTGCCTTCCCATCAGCAATCCTATTACTCACGGATATAAGGGGTTTGTATTGGCCAGCTGGAGAGTATGTGTTTTCACAGGTTCCACAGCTATTAGCATGTCTTGTTCCACAGCCATGGGAAGAACTGAGTATCCACAGTAATCGATGTGTTCTCCTGAACAAAAGAGAAAGCAAATTTTAGCATTGCTAGCAGAGAAATAAAAGAAGCTCAACCTAGCTTCATGAGCAACAATTGCTGGAGAGAAACACAGGAGCTTCAAGGCTGACTGGGTAGAAACTCAATGACCAGAATCTGGAGAGTTTTAAATCAAGTCACCCCTTGCATCTTTAGCCCACTTAGAAGCCATTCACTACACACCACTCTCTGTGACCTACTGTCCTTGTAGCTAGTAGGTAAATCTTTTGGGATACATGAGAGACCCCCTATCCTTCACCAACCAAAGGCCAATAACAGTACCATCAGCTAGCATCTGCGGCCGAGAACTGAGAAGTCTGCACCTTGCTGTAACCTACCTACCTAATGTTTCCACCAATATATCTGAAAAGTGTCTTGATGTATGGTTTCCTTTCCTGTTAGTATAAAACCTCAGGAGAATGTTGGAACATGAGGTTGGAGTAAACTGTATCTGTGTTCCCAAGCCACGGTCACTCATAATTGGCTCCAGAATAAATTTTTATCCCCTTTCAGGTGAAAGCTATGATTCTTGCTTAGACAGCTAACGTACAGGAGAAATATGGCCACAGTTTAATAAAAAGTAAAATACTATGGGCAGATACTCAAGTTTCTTTTTATCAAACATTTTGAGGCAACTTCTGCTAGCCATGAATAACTCATTTTGTTAATTTGGAGGCTCCTTTATATGTCAAGCTTATTCTTCCACTTTCTAATTTGTTTCGTTTTATTTTCTTTTTAACATAATATTTTTGTTGACTATTTGGAAATTTCACATAATGCATCCCAATCACATTCACTTGCAGTCCTCACAGGTGCCCCGCCCCACACTTTTGTGCATCCCACTTTCAACTGTGAATCTGCAGTCATCAATACCACTTCAAAAGAAGCTTCCTTGCCCTTCATAGTCAGCAGCAGCACGAGTCATGGACTACAGCATGGTCTAGAGACATCAACATGGCTTCAGATAGCAATACAGACCATAGTCATCCCCATGGACTCCCATGGGAACATGGGCCACAGATGTCGACACAGACTTCAGCTGCAGCAGGACCCCAGACATCAACATGATCTATGGCAGCAACACAACCAACCCACAGACATCAACTTGGCTTCAGGTGGCATCACAGACCATGGACATCCACATGACCTTTGGTGGCAACATGGGCCATGGACATTAACACAGCCTCTGGCCACACAGAGTCACAGAACACCAACATGGCTCCCAGTGACCACACAGGCCCCAGACATCAATATGGCCTCCAGCAGCAACATGGACCATGAACACTAACATTGTCCATGGAGGCAGCAGAGACCTCAGACATCAACATGGCCTTCAGAAGTTACACAGGCCAGGGACATCAGCATGGCCTCCAGTAGGAGCATAGACCAGAGACATCCACACAACCTCCAGCCACAGAAAGGACCACAGACACCATCATGGCCCTTGGCAGCTGCACAAGCCATGGACTTCAACATGGATTCAGATGGCAGACCATGAACATCTCTTTGGTGGAAACATGGACCATGGACATCAACAGGCAGCCCAGCAGCAGCAGGTTTCAGCAGCAGCACCGACCACAAACATCAACATGAACTCTGGTGGTAACAGGAACCACAGATACTATCATGGCCTGTGGTGGCAGCACAGGCCACAGACATCAAATGGCCTCTGCCACATTCTAATTTATAACAATCATTTCCAAATTTATGTCATGTGACTACAAAGTATCAAGCTGATTAACATCTTACTGTTTATTTTCCTGGTACAGAAATATATGTCATCATTCCTTTGGCAGATAATAACCAATGAGGAAACACAAAATTAACAGGTGACAATTCAGCTGCACAATTCTATTTTTATTCCACATATTGTTATATCAGACAAAGCTTTTTCTTCTGCATTGATATTCTATTTAGAATGGGATTATAAGGTCCTTTTATGGATTAACAATGACAGGTGAAAAACTAATTTACAAAGTTGTATTTCTATCCAAGAATCAAGAGGACAGCAATATGAATCAAGAAAAAACACACATTTGGATACATGGCTGGGCACCCTTTCTGCTGGAAGGTTACAGCATGGGAGGCATCCTGCTGAGAGTGAAAATGATTTCCTTTGTCAAAATGTATTTAAAAGAAGAAAAATACCCACCCTAGGTGAGGGTCCTGGAGGGAGAGAGCAGGTACCACTGGGGATGAAGGGTAACAAATGCATATTATCTCCTCAATATGCAACAAAACTACACTTATTCTTTTAACAGACACTGAGATTCATTTTGTCTCCATCCCTGTCTCACTAATACTGGGATCACACCCCATGTATTTTACTGAATCAGGGAATAAGAATTCTTTGTTAGGAGAACCGCACCCCACACAAGGGGAGCTGGCTGTGCTCTGAGGACACTGCTCCTATGGATTCACTAGCAATGAGGAGCTGATGTCTTCTGCCCCACCTTCCAGGCCCCTTTCCTCTTCTCTGGCCTTCTGAAGCTCCACCACTTTCTCCCCTCACTACTTTCCTCTGTGGCCCTTTAGGACACTAAAGATCTCAGAATCTGTTTGCAGCCCCTTCTCCATCCCAATCCCACAGTAACCCTGATGACATCCAGATAAATGACCTGGTCCAAAGCCCAAGCCCTCCTTCCCCTTGGCCATCTTCCTCCATGACCCTGCATCTAATAGTTGCCTAATTCCCATCACCTCCAACCTTTATAAAACTTGAGCTTCAGATCTCATCCTATCAGCCGAATCTCCCCATCCAGCATGTCTCTGCCTGCTTGTCTCATGCCCCGCCCTGCCTTCTCTTCTCCATTCTGTAAGCTCTTCTTCCCTTTCTTTCCTTTGCTACCCAGCACAGATGCCAGATTTTATTGCTGCACCAGCTCTCCTGCCCACACTGTCAAATTCCCTGTCCCATGTCATCCTCTTCGAAATCTACCCAACAAAGCCCCAACCTTCCTCAAAGCCACATACATTACATGCAGTGAGGCAGGGAAATGCAAGCTTTGGGTTCACAGCCCACAAGTTCACCTGAACCCAGGTCTCAGTGCTTTCCAGCAAATGGGCTTTCTTCATCCATTCACTGTCTCCCTTCCTTCCCATTTCCATTTTTTTTCTTTCCACTTTAAATCCCAGCCCTCCTCACAGGAATATCCTCAGCCCTCTACTCACAATTATACATAAATGTCATCAAGGTGCATTCTTTTCTTCCTTGCCTCCCATTAAAAGGGTGAAAGCTGACAGTGCCCTATGCTCCTGACATCAGCCTTCTTGCCTTTCCAAGTGTTCCCCTCCACCAAGTACTCCCTTCTCAATTACAGGCAATTGCTCCCTCTTCATTGATCTTATCCCTATTAGAAACCATCCCCAGTGACCATTCTCAAATATTCTTTCTGTGAAATTTTTAAATCATCTATTACTTGCTTCAAAATAAAAAACATGGCCTAAGTTGACAATGGAAGATGGTTAATAAGTGCATGCAAGTGCTTTGCATTATTTAATTACTTGTTTTATATAAGTTTGCATTTTTCATTATAAGAGCATTTTTGAATTCTTCATGGACCCTGAACTTTTCTCAGCTCCCCATACAGTTTCTCATGACAAGTCGTATTCATCCTAGAGGTTATGACTTACACCATCCCTGCACAAATCTCCAGCTCTTCCACATACTGCATCCCCTTCGCAAAAATTTGAGATGTATACATTTAGCTTAAGTTATCTTTGTTCAAATAGAACTTTATGTGGGTTTGAAGTGGGGAGAAAAGACAAATAAGAGGTGCCTCTGGTTGAGCTTTTGTATGCCTGGCACTCCTCATCAACAGCAATCCCTGTACAGACTCCAATCAACCCCTAAGTTCCACTGACATAGTGTGAAGATGACACTGAGTGTCTAGGGACTCTGTCATACATGCCATTCTACTATGGGTTCTACCAGGACAGCTACCACACAGATCAACAATGTATCTTCTGACTGAAAGAAGGGTAAAAGACTTCCTTTTGGTAAAATTGTGTGTAACTATCTATGTCCCACTTGACATATGTTTTTGTATTTTTGTTTTGGTTTGCTTTTTTAAAACAGGGTTTCAACTAGCTGTTCTGGAACTCTCTCTGTAGACCAGGTTGGCCTAGAACTCAGGGATCCACCTGACCTGCCTCTGCCTCCCAAGTGCTGGGATTAAAGGTGTATGCCACCACTTGACCAGTGTATAGCAAGCTCTTGTTATATTTTTCCTTGGCTTCCAAAGTACCACTTAAGATAGTTAATTTCAAATATGGACTTGATTTAGGGATACCTAGATCGATGGAAAGTGTTATTTCTGGATTAGCATGCATGTCCTGTATTGCTGTTTCTCTAATACATCTTTCCCACTTTCCTTCTTCCTATCTATCCAACCTCTCAGCTTGACACTGTGGAATGTTCTTTCTGCTCTTCTGTTGAGAGTCTCTGCTCCTAAGCTCCCTCCTTCAGAATTCAGCTCTACTCCATTCTCTTTCCCTAAGCAATGAGCCTATCCCAAGGGCTTCAATTCTCACCTATTTGCATTGGACCTAAATCTGATCTTCAGCTCCGTGTTTCTCTCAATGAATATCAGAGGCATGTATCAAAATGCCTTTCTTAAAAGAGTCACCTCCTTACACAGATAAACTATCCAAAACAGAAACATTAGACATCTGAAAAGTCTTCAAACCATGGCTGAACTTGAAAAGGAAGAAAACAGATGCTTTCTCTGTTTTCTTCCCTTAGGAAATAAGTACAACATAAAGGTATAAGACTTATTTTAGTAGAAAATTGTGTGTGTATGTGTGTGTGTGTGTGTGTGTGAGATTTTCCTAAAAAATAAAAAACATAACATTCTACAAAAATTTTACTAGTAATACAAATTTGTATGAAGTTTGCTGTGCAACCATACACAAAAAACTAAAGAGGAAAATGAGAATTTAAGTGCTATAAGAGGTTACATTCTTTATCATACCTACTT